AAAATTTATTTTTTAAATTTATCATTTTTGATAACAAAGAGAAAAGGAAAATAATTAATACAATGCCATAAATGAAATAATAAATCACAACAGTAAAAGACATGAAATAAAAACAGTACCTATAATTATAGCGAAAAAGATTTTATTTCAAATTGGAAAAAATAATAGCACTGAAAGTTGAGAGAAATAATTTAAGTAATAAAATATGAAATGCATTTTGTTGAAAATTCCATTGCAAAAAAAGAAAATGAAATTTTAATTTGCGACGATTGGAAAATAAAAATGTATAATGCAATTTTAGTAATTTTACCTTGAAGAAAAATAAAATATTTAAGTAATTACACTCGTTTTGCTTTAGCCATTACTTTCCACTTTTTTGTTGGAGCTTCAGCAAGTAAATTAATCATTCTGTGATCACATTTTTGAAGTAAAAAGAGAAAAATTAGATATTTATATCGTAAAAGTCATACTAAAAAAACACACCGGATTTAATTGTTAAAAAAGAAAATGAATTAAAAAAGAAAGAATGGAAAATGAAAAAATGAAAAAAGCAGCGGGATATTCTTCCTTTTTTTGTTATTGAAATATTACATTAATAAACATTGAAATATAACTGTTATAATGAAATTTTAAACTACTAAAATTCCTCAATGATTTCGCTCGAACATTATCCTTTTCTTTTTCTTTTTCCTTTTCTTTTTCTTTTCTTTTCTTTTCTTTTTTTTCTTTCAATTAATTACGACTTCTTCATTTTTCTTTTTTTTGGAACAAGAATTTCAGACAAAAAAGAACACAAAAAAGGAATGAAAAAAAATGGAATGTTGGAATGAACTATGTTTCCTGTTTAAAATTTTCCAGTTTCAAACAGGACAATAAAAACGACAAATAAAGGGAAAAGAAAAGAGAGAGGAAGAGGGAGTGAGAGAGAAAGAAAGAGAAAATTTTACCGATAATGATAATAATGTTGGTAGTGGTTGGTACCTGTATCACATTAAATGAAACAACATAAAATTTACCCTATTGCTAAGGAAATTTCTTTTTTTTCTTTTTTCTTTTTTCTCATGCAAATTACTACTGTGCACAATAAATTTTGAATCAAATAAGATGAAATGAATAGGATATCACAAATCTTTTGTAATTCTATCTTGAAGGCCAAAAAAAATGAGGAAAAAAAAGGAAAGTAATGAGAGGGAGAGAAAAAAAAGGAGAAGTTATTTACAGTGTAAACATTTTCCATTTTAATTCTTTATGAATGATTAATTTTTTTTTTTGCTACCACTTTAATGGTTCAAACACTATTTGGTGGTACAATAATATTGAGGTAGAGTAAAAGTGCAGCAAATTAACGATATGTAAATTTGATGAAATAAATAGTTCGAGAATTTTGATTATGATCACGAAGATGATAATGGTACGGTAAAAT